CGAAGTTTTTCCTCCTTGTGCCAGCGAACTTGCTTTTCCCATAGTGTAAATTAATGAGCGCAAAGTCATCATGGATTTCTCTCATCGTCGAAAACGTATACGTTCGCACACGGAGAAAAAAACCTCGTGCGTGGGACCCAAAGTTTAGGTCATATGGATCTCTGAAGTTTTCGGATTGAGCATCTGAACACTTTAGGTCTAGCTGTCGAGGTTCGGATCACACATCTGAAACTTCAGTTCATACATCTGAAGTACTTCAGATGTGAGAACCGAAGTTTTTCGGATGTGAGAACCGAAGTACTTCAGATGTAAGAACTGAAATACTTCAGATGTAAGAACTGAAGTACTTCAGCTGTAAGAACTGAAGTTTCAGATGTGTGATCCAAACCTCAGCAGCTGGACCTTAAGTTTTCAGATGCTCAATCCGAAAAATTCAGAGATCCATATGACCGAACATTCGGGTCATACGTTCGGGTCAACATTCATTCGGGTCTCACGCACGAAGTTTTTTTCTCCGTGCACGTAAATGATATAGCGCTGCAACATGTGGTGAGGAAATAACGTTTCACGGAATTCGCTTCCATAATAGACGTCTTTTTATGACGTCTTTATCAGATTAAGGCAGGTGAAATAGTGAAAAACTGATGGAACTCATTACTCGAAGTGAACTTGTTGCCCTTATCACCTGGCGACGAGAGTTTTTCAACGAGTGAACTTGTTCGATGCGACAATCTCTAAGAGTATTACATTAAGTCATGCTGTAAACAAGCCGCATCCGCCGACCATGCATGACCGCTGATTTCTAATATGCTGAGAAAGAATTTCTTTGCGTCATTATTTTGTGTCCGTTTATATTACCCTCTAAAATGTGCTTTATCATCGCCGAACCCAGAGAAAAGAAAGAGAAGAGACATATGAACGTATTTCTGCCAAACGGAACTATGTGCATTATGACGTGAGCCCTGTTATGCATATATTCTTGTGGGTCTCAGGGCTCATGTCTGAATGCACATAGTTCCGTTTGGCAGAAATACGTCCACATGTTCAGGTTCATCTTCGTGTTTATGTGGTAACTGTGACGCAAACCTTGTTGATTTTATGCAGGGGTCAGTGATCAGATTTAATGTCAGATGTGAAAATTTAGACTTCCCTGAAATATTAAGGTTTTCTTCTCTGATCTTCAATTTAAATCTATCTCGTCAACGTTAAGTTTATCGATGTGAATAGAAGTCTTAATGAGTGACAAGATAAACTCCTCAATAAAATTTCAGGATCAGTCATGAATTTTAAGGGAGGAGAATTTCAATATCGGGTACAGGCTCAACCTAAGGTTATCAGCAGTCTGGGAAAATTTAAATTTTTAGGAGGAATATCTGACATGAAAATCTGGAAAAGTAGCTGAATGTCCCTGAAAAGTATGCATAGTTAAGTCATTTTTCTACAGACTTATTCGAAATAAAGAAAAAAAAAATGTCTTCTGTCTGATCCCTCAATTTTTGCACTTATGAATTTTCCTTTACCGACCGAGGAATTCATTACTCGGATATCGTCAGGGAAAAATTGTAATCTGGTTTAAAAAATCTGGAAGAGCTAGGGAAATGTTTTCCAAAATCGGCCAGGAAGCCCTCTACTAAATGTATGTACGATTCAGAAAAGTAGATACAATTTTTCTCTTCAATAGGCAGGCCATACCATGTTAGTAATTGATTTCCCCATTATCGTCGTCAATTTTGAAATTGTCAGTAATCTAATCGGCCATAATATAACTCGAATCGTTTACTTTTCATCACGGGAAGATGTTCAAAACACTGGAAAAGGGGAGTTTGACGCTTTAATTTAATCAATTCCGCCTCGAAACATTGACTGATGAAGTCCTTGAAGAATTTACGGAAGGAACAACAAAGGGGAAAAACTCCAAGTTAGGGGATAGGCATCTCGGTCTCCAGGTTTTTTTATGCCGACATTCTCACGTTTTTCGCCACCGTATACGTTCGTCGGGTCAGGATGATTGTGAATTGCTCATTAATTTATTTTTCAGACATTTTTTGCAATTTCCGGCTGCTTCGTGCCTCCCTCAACATAATATAACACCACTTCTCCTCTTATCTCCCTTTTGCCAAGAGTCACTGACCTGGAGCAACGATATTGAAACCAGTACAATCTCATGAAAGCTGACAGTACGAGAAAATGTAGAATTAATTGATAGGAATTGAAAAACCGCGTCGCTTTTATCTGTCATTGGATTATCGGGAAAATAATTATGACTGCTATAAATAATAATGCAATCTTCGGACAAAAGTAAGTGGGCACTTGAAGCGACGGGCTACTTATTACGGATCCAAATAAATGCAGTGTTTGAACTCGTGTTTATGATTTGTAAACCAATCAATCCTCAAAATGACCTCGTGAGTACCATTTAGATAATTCAGGTATCTCAGCAGTACAAGTAATAGAGAATTCGCAGGTGTCTAAAGTGTTAAGAATTTCGTCTTTAAGTGGAAACTATTGAGTGAACTGAACACGAGGATACCCTTGGTTCATGAATTGAACAATTATTGGAGAAGATGTGACAAAATGATCTAATCTGCCAAAATACACGTGTTTAAATGGGAAATGCCGCCAGATGACGTCACTAGGCGGTGCATTTTCTCACGTTTAAATCTATGTTTATACTATTCCCCTTATCAGAAAAAAATTATAAAATAATACTGTAAAATCAGCTCTTTAAGCACTTTCAGATGAAGCAATAAAAAATTTGCATGCAAATTCTCAATTCGATTATGCGCCGGTCATAGCCATGATGACGATTTTGTACGGCTTATTTTCTAGTCTAGAATATTTTTAGCTGAATATATCGATCATCAATTCAAAAAATCAAATTCAACCTCAGTTTTTATTCAATTCCCCAATCGGCACGGAAAAAATTAAATTGCTGATTTAACAATTCAATTGCTTAAAAAGTGACTGCAATGTTTCAATGTCTTGATTTTACAACAAAAAAATGCTACTTTAACCAGCCCCGTGGTCTAATTAGATGGTAAAAGTAGGTGGTAATAGTGGTGAAAGTAGCATTTTTTTGTTGTAAAATCTACGTTGTAGTTACTTTTTTTTAGCAATTGAATTGTTAAATTAGCAATTTAATTTTTTTCCGTGAGGTTGAGGCGAGTTTTATGATGCAATTTATTTTTACATGTTACATGTTTACATAGGCAGGCAACTTCGTCACACAAGCGTTACAACGGGGGGAGGTTGAAAAAACCGAAATTCAGCGTTCTTCATACGAACTTTATAAACGGTCCCCCTTTTTTCCCGCCTTTTCTTTTAGAGAGCCAAAGTAATGTATCCCTCCGGAAAAAATCTCTTTTACCTTTTCGTGCCTTCTATTATTTACCAAAACGTTTCGTCAAGTTTAGGATCATGACTTTACTTGAATCCTCGGCATGCATGAGCGTCGCTGATCTCCGATGCCTGATGTCGCGCGCCAGTCCATTAACCCCAGGCTCTTATGGTAATTTTATTTTATTTTACTGAGGTAACAAAAACTCGTGTTAATGCCAAAACACTCTTACTCGTTTTGTTCGCGCTCGCGAATAATTTTATGACTTGAGTCTCTCCCGCCGATTTCGTTCACCCTGCCCGCCTCCAACTCTTTTCTCGCCCAGCCGGTTCCGAACCCGGCTTGCCAAATCATGCACATTACGATTTAAGTGCACCAAGAAATTAGCATTAATTGCAACGTCAATGGATTACACACCCCTCGCCGCGAGAACTTCTGTCAGTCCAACTAGTTACACGTGCAAGCGTGGAATTAACGGCAATTTCAGTGTTGCCTAGTTTTGATTCGTCGCTGAAAACAGGGTTGCCACAGTTAGGGAAAACCGGGAAATGTCAGGGAATTTCAATAAGTCAGGAAAAAACTGGGAAACGTCAGGGAAAAAGACAAAAATGTCAGGAAAAATTTGTTAAATCATCGTCATTTGCTTTCTAGAATAGGTTCGAGGTATCGAACAACAAAGGTCTGAAAACTATTTTCAATTATGCCTTTTTAACCATCCGTCACATCTTCAATTGTCAGGGAATTTCGCCAAAATATGTCCGGGAAATCAGGGAAATGTGATGAATTTCATTTTCTAGATTCTGTGGCAACCCTGGCATTCATGTCAGAATTTTTCGAGACGGTAGACACGAAATCTGATTGTGAGGCTTTAATCACGAAAAGTTGCAAATTTTGTCTTGCCATCGACCAGATTGGATTGATACGTTGCAGAAGCCCGGTTGCACACGAACATGTAGCAATCGGTCGCTTACTCGTAACTTTTTTCCCGTGGTGAGTAAACAAATTTCTATGCTAATGAGTAGCATGCATTTTACGTAGCTTCTGCTCCATTTTCGCCAACACCTGCGATTAATGGGATTCTAATCGTTGCAATCGAATCGTTGCATATCACCTTTACCCGATACTACTGTGCTGTAGCTTGTCCTAAAAGCGAATTGTCTTGATTTTGGTACGTCATCGTCACAGTTAATCGATCGAAAACTTGGCTTTTTCATTGGTCTTACGGTAGAGAGTATTTGGTGCAGTAATTTAAATCATCAAATGGTGCTGAGTCTCAAGTCTTTTACCGCGCAGAAGTAGAAGTGCATTGTCACAATGCCGCGGCTGTGGGGTTGAGGCAAGTCGATGGGAAGCGCCTTCAATTTCGTCCGTATGCAACATGCTCATCCATCAAGCACGAATAGTTGCATCCACCCGTTAGAATCCACGCTGTGCTCTGCCGTGCTAAGGAAGAACGTCGTATGAGCCTTCAGACGTTGCCAAGTTTCCGTCGATAAAAAACGAATCTACCGGGAAAATTGTGAAGATTTCCCCCCAAAATTTTTAGACAATTGTCCTTATTTTCGTTCTTTGGTGGCACGCAATACTTATCTTTTTTAGCTAGGGTGTTTTTTTTTTTTTGTCTTTCGTCTAATTTTTCGGTTGATCTATTTTTCTGTTGCAGTCGCAAACAGCGAAGTACTCAGGATATCCAAAGAAAGTGCGGATTGTGGAAGTGGGCCCTCGTGACGGACTTCAAAACGAACCAAATATTGTTCCGACCAACGTCAAGATTGACTTCATTAACCAGCTCTCCAAGACCGGTCTACAAACTATTGAAGCCACAAGGTGTGTAGTTTGTACTCTTATCACCTTATTCTACGGCATATTTTGCGTCATTTGCACCGAGTTCAATAGGAACGCACCAAGTCTCATTTTGGAGAAAAAAATTAGTCGTAAATATTATCCTGTCAAAAATTCTAAGTCGAGGAAAAATATTTCCAACGTGAATGAAAGTTGTTAAAAGTCCGTTATCAAGAAATGAAATTGCCAACCTTTTTCTTGGTTTGAACTTGATGTGACCTGGCGTGCTTCGCGATATACCGAATGATCTGCCATTTAAATCTACCGAAAAGGATCGATAAACATGGGTGTCCGCAAAGAGCACCTCAATAATCGACCTCTACCTCAGGTCTAAATGGGGAACATTGATAATCGATCATTCACCGGTGGCTTGTTGCCTTTCCTTTAAACTCTGTCCATTTGTACATTTCGACTCCTCTTTTTTTTTTTTTTTTTTTTTTTTTTTTTTTTTTTTTTTTTTTTTTTTGAGGGGGCTACAAAAATTAACTATGACCCGAGTGAATCCAGAATTCCGAATTAAGTAAAGGACCAGTTGATTGAAACGACAGTCTTTCTTCAAGGCAATGCAGTCGAAAGTTTGGAAGTTTTCCTTTGCGCGTATAAATGAATGAATACTAGCATGTGCCCAAGTTTTCAAGAAGTATTTAAATAAATCCTGGACACCGTATCGTATGGAATAATATTGTGACATAACAAATAGAGTGGCGCTGTATCAGAATTTTCTGCTCTCCCTTAAGTACTTAAAATTGTGTAGTTAATCATGGGAATTTCTCTTCCTTGCCGTTAGAATTCTTGAGCACTCAACGTCAATTAAAAGTATGTTTATAGAAATCTTACATTGAGCATTTATTTACGAAATAACTCGAATGCCAAAACTTTTTGATCCTTGACTTCCTTTAAATCTATGAAGACTTTGAAGGCTTATGAGTTTTCAGACTTTACTAGGCACTTTTATATCGTTCATACGTTGAAAGGAAGATCTAAAGGTGTCTCATACTTAAAATCTCAATCGGAAGTATTCTTACAAAATTTCGAGGAGATTTTCCATTTTTTTACGCATTTAAAAAAATTCTTTATTACAAAATCCCTAAATCACGAAGAAAAACAAGTTTTGCTTGAACAAGGCCCTCAACAGACTCCAGGTCCTACCTATTTATCCAGTCGCACTTACAATGTTACTTTTGTGGTAACACAGGGTGTCTAGCATCAGGAAAAACCGGAGAAACCGGAAAATATCAGGAATTTTGGCCGATCAGGAAAAAAATCAGGAAAATATAAGAAAGATCGGAAAACTCAGACGTTTCATCGAATTTTTCTTACGCGAATCTCCTCAGCGGAGAAAGTCTTACTGCTTTTTGCCTACCGCACCAGGAGTCGAGGAAAATCAGGAGAATATCAGGAATTTTCAAAATGAAAAAATCAGGAATTTTTTATAAAATATCAGGAAGAATCAGGAAAATATCATGATTTTTCAAAATTAAAAAATACTAGACACCCTGTAACAGTTATTCGAGTCGCGGTAACCAAAAAAGTAAAATTGAGACTACGCACAGAAAAGCAGGTATGACCTGGATTCCGCAACGAGCATTGTAAGGGCAATCGTTCTTTTTTTAATCCGGTATAATTTGCAAGAAAATGTTTCGTGTTTATCTCGAGCCAGATACTCGGAATTTCCGCCTCGTATGAGGAGCAAGGAAAAAAGTTTGGCAATGCATCATATTTAGATTCATTATTGGAAATCCGCATTCCAATCCCCCGGAGGAAAATATTCGCCACTAAAATTAGCTCAGATATTCCAAAAATGTTCTCTTTCCGTTCGCGCGGCACCCACGTCCACCCCCTCATTAAAAATTCCGTCGAGCAAGTCTCGGGAAAAATCTAAATATTATCTTGAGGCTCCTCAATCATTCTGCCCAATTTTTTCGCTTTTTTGCGACGAAGCTCTCTCCGGGCAACGACCACTTATCGACGATCGATTTTGCGGCGCGACGACGCGTTCGCACTCGACCAAGACCATGAACATGAAGGCATGAGAAAGTTACGATGGGTAAACGTCCCCCGCAAATTTTTCAGCGTCGAATCATAAAATGCTCTTGGACCCGAACATGCCATCAAAATATTTCTGTTTTTACCTTCTCGTTCTAGGCACGTGTCATGATGAGACTTGTGGCGAATCCATCTCCGATCAAGCTCTCACTTTTCATTTGAATCTAGGATAGTTCGAATGTGCACTAACCAATTACGGAAGAAAACCTAAATTTTCTCCTTGGCGATTTGTTTTTTTGAGCGAAATTCCTAAATCGCCCGAAAATCCATGAATCTCCCCATCACACAAAAATGTGCGTTATCGCGGAAAGAAGTTTAAATACCTATGTAACATCGTTAATTTGCGCTTCTTACAATTCTGAAATTCCGAACTGACCAAACTTACTTTGTGAAACTTCTTCTAATCAGCTTCAATAAGCTTAAACCTCAACGAAAAAATAGCTTTTTTTATAAAACCTTCACTGGAAAAAAACACATTGGATCTAGAGTCCAGACTCTTAAAAACATCGACAAGAAAAAGTACTCTTGATTCAATCAGGATCTAGCTTAAATCAAGAACCAAGCCTCTTAATCTAAGCGGATTTCGTTTTGATTCAAGCAAAAATCCGATTGAATCAAGAGTATTTTTTCTTGTCAATGTTTTCAAGAGTCTGGACTCTAGATCCAATGTGTTTTTTTCCCAGTGTTTGATGATCTTTTAACTTACACAAAAAAAACACAGTAGAAATGGAGGGGGGGGGGTTCTATCAAGACTGTTAGAAATTATGCACCAATTTTATCGTCCATGTTTGCCCACTGCACTGTATTTCGTTTAACTCGCTTTGATTTGAGTCCGAAATACAAGCAGAGCTAATTCCGTACAGGGAAAGTCCGGAAAAACATGAACGAACTTGAGCAGGATATTGAACGTCAGTAATCTTCTCACACAATATTTAATTCATAAATACGTAATAATGCCAATGCTTAGTTGTGACGCCTTTACCATCGGCATTGCCACATCATCCCGTAATATCTGGCAGTTTTCGGATCGATTTTTTAGAATCAGTTAAATATCCAATATAAAGTATATCAGTTTTGTGTATATCCGTGACTGGTGTATACCATCTACCATCAAATATTTGCGGCCTGCAAAAATTTGACCGCCATTTTTGTCATAATTTTAATCGGAAATTGACGGAAATTTGAGCGTGTATCCAGGCCTTATAATTACTCAAAAGGACGGCAGTGATGATAGTATATAGTAGAAGATATTCCGATAAATTGCAGAAACAAAATGTCGGACATGGTTTTACATAAATGTCGGCTTTAAAGGGCGGGGATTTCGTTCGCTACTTCCAGTATGTAAAGTAATTTGGATCAAAAAAACGAAAACATCCAAGAGCTGAGTAAAATGTTTGTTTGTCAGAAAAATTCATATGGATAAGGGTATTAGATGACAACGGAAACGAATTTATTCATGCTCGGATCATATACACGATAGGATTTCGGATGCGAAATTTGCATCAATTTGAAATTGTTAAGCCGATTGAGTCGCGAGGGTGTAACGCAACCGGCAGTTGAAATGGAATTTTGTGTAATCCAATTTCGGTTGCTTTCAAAAACAAGCTCCAGTTTAGCTGTACGTTTAATATTAAACTGAAAATTGACTGTTCTCGTCGCGGAGAAAACGATTCCCACTGAAATAAAGACCTCGGCTCGTTCCGACCACTAACAAAGGTCTCCAGGTACACTTTTTTTAACATTCACAAGATTGAATATGAGTCTGTAATTTCAATCGTGAAAATACACCTTGAATACTTGTCTTCTCTTCGCTTTCAAATTTCGGTTAAATTTGTCTTTTTTTACATGAAATATCACGCAAATTCCGTCCTCTAAAATTTGGTCATGAAGTGAATCCAAAAAATTACACAATTTTTTAAAAAAAAACATGCGGAACAACTACAGTGGTCAGTCTTCCCATGAGAAAAAATAATTGTGAATGAACATTTGCTCAGCCCGTGAAACAATCTTGTTTCCTGTCCTCAATCAGCGAAAAGTAAATGACAATGAAATTGGAAATTTTTTGTACTCAAATCTACGAAATTTTTATTTTTCTCCTAAAGATGCGATGTGAGGAATGTTTCACTGTGTATAAATCCGTTGGGAAACGGACGAAATAGTCGACTTGAAAGAGCAGTGTAGGTGCAGCGACTTGCACAAGCGCGTCTCGTAACTGTATGAGCTGCGAGAGCTTGAACCCAAAACGCCTCCAATTCCTTGAACGCAACGCGGGCAGCTCTTGAGCTTCAATAGTTGCATCCATGCGTGTGCCTCACCGTGGTATTGTATGCCTTGCTATTGGCAAAGGTTCGCCTGCCTTTTTGGATTATCTACCGCTTTCGCTTGTAAATGAAACACAATTCACACCGATGTGAGTTCGCCATTGCAGCGTTCAACATTATTTAATTTCATACATAGCTGACTATTTACATTCAGCATTTTAAAATACCGCACTCGACACAAATGAATTAATCTTATCTAATCTTTGAGAGAAGGATTACGTTGACGGTATCTAAATGATTGCTCTGGACTTTTTGCTCAAGCATGGATTCACCCAGCTCCTGTATAGGCTAGGTTTAAACTGAAACCAATATTATATAGACTCAGTCTATCGTTGTCGGTGACAGGTCTTTAAAAAAAATAGAGGCTCCATTCCCCTAAAATTGCCAATAATTTTGCCTCCTCCAACTCAGATTTGGTGCTTCGCGCTATCAGAGGGCTGTTTAGTTTTACCGTAATAGATCCCCGACTCATCTTTCGAAAATTTAAAGTCAGCGGGCTCTTAGACACATTCGCGCCATCTGTGGATACCCGAAAAATCACGAGAATCGATCCGCTGCATTTGACTATGATATCAAATGAAAATTCGAGGGTCAAAGAGCCTAAATTTAAAAAAAAAACACCTCCAGAATTGCAGAGCTATGACGAAGTAACTATGACATTTAAAGTATTTTAAGGCCATATTGCGAAGTTAATAAAGTGTGTTCCAGTTAATTTACCTTTTTGAATCAAAGAATGACTGCGAGTGTTGCTGAAAAAGTTTTAAGGACTCTCCTCCACTCAACCGAAGAAGCTTATTGAATTGTGTTAAAAAAACAAAACGTGGATTTTTCTTTTAAAAATGGTAGTGAATCGTGTGAAGAAATACTGCATTGCTGTATTGAAGGTACGCCTCCTGGCCTTAAACTACCTGATTTCTTCCTCGGCCCACGGCTAGGACAAGGTCTTTCCTCTTTTATCCGACCTCATTCAGCCTTCTCAGTCTCAGCCTAATTAGACACACGGAAAATCTAAGCTCCTCGCTTTACCTCACCTTTTGTAGCTTTGCAGTTCTGGAGGGTTTTTTTTTTAAATTTTAGACCCGACTTTTAAATTTTAACCGGAGAGTTTTTTGGACCGCGAGTTTTGACAAAAAGTAACGAAAATAATATTTCCAAGTCCATCCTATAAAATTTAATTTATCGCCTAAGCTTAAAAAAGGACGATAGCCCCTGCACAGTAGCTGTCGATAGCTGAATCGAATGCGAGATTTTTTTCCAAACACTATTTTGCTTTCATTTCTCTGAATTTTGCCGATTTTTGAGCTCAGATTGATTCTTTAGGCTACTGTGCAGGAGCTATCTTCCTTTTTTATGCTAAAAATTCAAAATCTGCCGAGACTTTTTACCTAATCGATGCGATATATCGCATGCCACTTGGACCACGTCACTTGAGCTTGACGAATCACCTGAAATTCCAAAGGAAAGCGAAATTCTGACAATAACAACGGTGCGAATCTTGACATACACTGGAAAAAAAAAACACATTGGATCTAGAGTTCAGACTCTTAAAAACATCGACAAGAAAAAGTACTCTTGATTCAATCAGAATCTAGCTTAAATCAAGAACCAAGCTTCTTAATTTAAACGGTTTTCGTTTTGATTCAAGCAAAAATCCGATTGAATCTAGAGTATTTTTTCTTGTCAATGTTTTCAAGAGTTTGGACTCTAGATACAATGTGTTTTTTTCCCAGTGAAATATGTATCATGGAAATGTAAGTGTAACCGATATAACGACGATTCTCTTACATATTGCAATGTGTCTTGGAAGTTCAAACCGCACACTCTGCACCTTCGGTCCTCCTAAACTCCCGCATGAGTTTTCCAAAGCTCAGTAGGTAATTGTATTCTCGCAGCTGTCCAGGCCTTCTTTTGCTGTAGGTCAAACGCGGCTCATTAGCAATTTCAATTAACTCTGGAGCATAATTCGATTCTGAGACTGTGAGCGTGACCACCGAAAATGCAAAGCACGTGGTGTAGGTGTATGAACAGTTGGACACTTCGACCAATTATCATGACCATCGTCGCGAACGCGGCAATACTTTACATAACAATTGAACCAATTAGTTCTTTTGTGCAATATCATTGTTCGCTGCCGCTTACCTCTCGCCCGTCTTTTATTTCTCGAGGCCTCAAAAGGAAGTTCCGAATGAGATTCGCAATTTGCATGCTTCTAAGTCTATCTAAATTAGTTTTTTCGCGCTGTGTTGTATGAATTCTACCCTTTTTTCGAACAGTTCTCCAATGAACGTGTTAATGCACCATAGTTAGCGTATCCACAAAGTCGACCAGCATTACTATACTGCCGTGCTAAGGAAGAACGCCGTATAAACCTTCAGGCGTTGCCAAATTTCCTTTGATAAAACATGAATCCCATCGTAAACTTATGAATATTTTTCTTCCAATTTTTCAGACAATTTTGTTCGTAATTTCACCTAAAGTTCCTGCAAATTTCAAGGAAAAATATTCATAAGTAATTTTCCTCAAACATAAACATTTTATCGATAGAAATTTGGCAACTCTCGAATGTTCATACGGCGTTTTTCCTTAGCATGGCAGTATACGACTGTCACAATAAAGTAGAATAGCGATTTTTTAAAGTAGCACACGTTTACCTACGCGCAATACTACTCTCGCAAATCATGGTGGCAACTCGCGCCGCGCCGCTGTTCAGCCGGCCGGCGATGACGAACCAATATCTGAAGCGTATTTTAAGTGAAAGCGTCGTCGTAGTCCCGTGGAAATGTGTCAGTTTATTGAGCGGTCCATCCATAATCGGCCAATTCGTATGTGCATCGCGCATGCAGTTTCTTCCGAAAGTGACGTTTTGCCTTGCGAGACCCCCTTCGCGCAATTTAGTCGAAGGACATCGGGTTCATTACAGTGCGTTTGCATGAATAATTGGATCACATTTTGCAATTCGGAACTATAATTTCTGGCTCATCTGTAAAAACACTCACGTGCATAAGGAAACTGATGGCACTTACGTTGTTTTCAAATTGAGCTGGAATTTATAGTTCCTAATTGCAAAATGTGGTCCAATTAGCCATTGAAATGTTCTGTGGACGTGCCGAAATTTAAGTTGAACAGGAGCTGAAGACACTCGAATTGTTAAGAACTCCCAATCTTTAACGAACGTGGGTACTTGTGCGGCCGAAAATCCGCATCTCTCTGGCAAAAGGGCGTATCTCACTTTCCACGTGAGCTGCGCTTCACTTGAAAATCCATTATTTCTGGGGCTTAGACGGAAATCCAGGGCCGGATTTACCTATTTGCCGCCCGTGGGCCGCCTGTATTTTGCGGCCCCCCTCTCATTCGTTTTGAAATACCAATAAAAACCATCAAATGAACGTGCCAGCGGGGAAGGGTGCATAAGACTCGTTTTCTCGTGTTGGACATATTTTTTGGGAAAGCCCTGTTAACACTACTAGCAAAATTTCACGGAACTTTGCGCGAAAGTTAAGTTCCGTAAACCTATCTCTGTGTGGACAAGGCCTTCCATTCATAAGAAATGAACGAACCAATTATGAAAGAACAAACATAAATGTAGTTTAAAAATTTTAACTTCCGCCGCCGCGCAGACTGCGCTGTGTTTGACGCAATGCGCGAAGTATTCACGCAGTCTTGTAGGCGGTAAGCGTTTCACGCTGACCGCACTGTCTATGGCGCAATGCGTGAAGTATTCACGCAGTCTTGTAGGCGGTAAGCGTTTCACGCTGACCGCACTGTCTATGGCGCAATGCGTGAAGTATTCATGCATTCTTGTAGGCGCTATCCGTTTCACGCTGACCGCAGTGACCGCATTGTGTTTGATGCAATGCGTAAAGTATTCGTGCAGTCTCGTAGGCGCTGATATGTGTTACATAGCGACCGTCGCGCCGAGGGCTTCTCCTTTTCATTTCAAGTCCTCGTCACCATTTCTCTCTAAGTCGCGCCGTTCCAACCAAAATTGCGTGTTTTGTTTCTCTCTGAACTCGATTAATGAAAGGTGCTGTCTTTTGTATCACTAAAAGACGACAAAATTAGAAATTACTATACTCTCAGGAAATGAGAAATTGATATTTCTAGCTCATCCTTGAAAGTACCACCCGTATAGGGCAACAAATGGCGCATCTATTGATTGTAAAATAGTGGCGTGGCGTGCTCTGCGATCTATCGATATTTCCCCATTTGAAGCTGTGGTAAATAATCGATTATCAAGGTGTTCGCTGCGAGCACCCTGTTTATCGATACTTTTCCATAGATTTAAAAGGCCGATCGATTTATATATCGCAAAGCACGCCACGCCACAGTTCTAAAATGAGGCAGGAATAGTAGTTCCCGTTTGCAAAATGTAGTGCCATTCTCGTGATTCGTATACTGCCGTGCTAAGGAAAAACGCCGTATGAACATTCGGGAGTTGCCAAATTTCCTTCAATTAAATGTTTGTTTTTGAAGAAAGTTATGAATATATTTCCTAGAAATTTTCAGGGACTCTAGGTGAAATTGCGAACAAAATTATCTGAAAAATTGGAATGAAAATATTCATAGGTTTACCAGGCAATTTGTATTTATCAAAGAAAATTTGGCAACGCCAGAAGGTTCATACGGCGTTTTTCCTTAGCACGGCAGTGTACCTACCTCGTTATTTCATATATTTCTCCACTGATTTTTTCATGATATTCATTTTCTTATCGTCAAAACGTTCTTATTTTCTGTTCTCAGTTTTGTCTCTCCAAAATGGGTACCCCAGATGGCTGATAGTTCAGAAGTGCTTCAAGGAATCATGAAACATCCCCGTGTCAACTACCCAGTTTTAGTGCCCAACATGAAAGGTTTAGAAGCCGCTGTAAGTTTAATGTCCATCTCTCTATATCATTCATTTTCTGCTTATGTGTGGCAACCCTTTGTTTCAAGTCATTTACCTGTACCGTTTCGTTCCTCAAGGGTGGCAGATAGTAGATTCGAAAAAAGTGAATATTAGATTTCCACATTATTTCAGTTCTTTATTTATTACCTTACAGAAACTCTTCAATCCCTGATTGATTTAACTAAGCCACAAAGAAAGTCTGTAAGTGCAGTGTAGTTGGTTGTCTTGTGCTGAAAAGTTAACAAGAAAACTTCACGTTGCATTATCTCCCCCTCCCCCCTTCATTTGCTTTACAATTTTGTCATTTTTGTATCTGTTTTATTCATAAAGAGCCAGACAGAACGTGCATTAATGTTTTTCTAGACACATGTAATCGGGAAAATAAGATAGTTTTCCTTTTTTAAGGTATTATTTCTTTATATATCAGGAAGTAGTTAGCACTAAATCATTTTTTTTTACTTTTGTACTTTTTTTATCATGCTTATGTATTTTAAATATCTAATTTCTGATTTACACTTGTGATCTTTCCTAAGTTGTAATTTTGTCTTTTTTATAGATAAAAGCTGGAGCGGAAGAAATAGCCATATTTGGAGCTGCTTCAGAGACCTTCAGTCGCCGAAATATCAATTGTTCAATTAAGGAAAGCTTAGAAAGGTTTCGAACAGTTGTGGCAACAGCTTTAGATAATGGCTTGAAGGTTCGAGGATATATTTCTTGTATCTGTGGATGTCCATATGAAGGCTCAGTTCCTCCTAGTCAAGTCACCAAGGTAAACGTAACTCCCATAATTTAATTTGCTTTCTTTTTCGTGTATTTAAGGTCATTAATTTTTGAAGGGTTTGTAAAAATTAAATTTATTTTTCAATTTTAAAAGTTGAATCAATATATTTTTTTTTTTTTTTTTTTTTTTTTTTTTTTTTTTTTTTAAATATTTGAGAGTTCTTTTAGATGTGCCTCAATTTACTCTCCTTTAAGCATAATTTGAAGGGAATACGTAAGTCCTCGATATTCTTTTAAGTCAACAAACGCTTTTCTCATATTCCTCTACTCGTGTTCTCCCCCCCCCCCCCCCCCCCACCCTCCCCAATGAGACATTGTTTTTTCCTACCATAATTAATAGCAATAACAGCTTTTAGTGTAATAATATTTAAATGTGCAATGGAAGTATGCATTTTTGAACTTCAGCCATTGATTTGCATATTTATAACTGTATGTATGAAACAGTATTGAATCTCCCCTTATTTAAATTTATTTCAAGGCCACTTGAAATATATGTTGGTAAGACTTTTTCTACTAGGTGTGAGCGCTGTGCCTAACATGAATCATTACATCAGATCTAATGTTGATGAATTGACATTGATTCGACAAGATTCTTACTGATATTATGATTGGGTGCGCGGATTGATACTCACAGCAAAGTGCTTTTTGTTTCAGATGGCCAGAGAGATGTATAATATGGGCTGCTATGAAATATGCCTAGGAGATACAATTGGAGTGGGCACCCCTGGTTCAATCAGAGCTGTTTTAGAAGATGTTTCAAAGGTGGTTCCTATTGAGAAAATCGGCATCCATTGTCATGATACTTATGGACAAGCTCTAGCAAATATCCTCACAGCTTTAGAAGTAAGTATATACAAAAGCATACTTCTATTAAGATCTTGGGCTTAAGATTTACTTAGATAACGGCTTATAATGACAGTTTTCTCTCTGTAAAAATAAAAAAATTAAGTTTTAAAATAGTCATTCACTTTTTTTTTAGTGAGGACATCTTAAACGTTGATTTAAATCATCACTCTTCAGTAAGCAGATCTAAAGGCTCGACTGCTGTGCAAAGACATAGCGTTTATAAGAATTTAGAAATCGTCGATTTCTTCCACCCCGGACCTATCGATGAATTATCAGTTTTTGAAAAGAATTCTCATAATTTTCTTGTAAAATTTTCCAACGCATGAGATGGAATTGGAGAAAAAATTACACACATACTTAGAAGCCGCTTTTACAGCGCTCTTTGGCGCTCTGCAGCTCCCAGCTGCCGAAGCCTCCCCGCCCTCCCAGAGCCCTTCAGGGAGTTAGAGAACAAATTTTCTTTAAAAAAACTTTAACAAAAAATCGATCAGTAAATCACTTAGAAAAGTATTAAATCAAGAAAAATCCGGCAACATCTGAATATGCAATGTTTCTCCCTAGCTTTACCGCATCGCAATAAAAGAGGCTCTCATTCCTACTGTTTGTCAACTTTTTAAATGTCAGGAGGAATATGCAATAGAAGTTAGTTTGTAAAATAGCATAGGTTCATAATTAGAAATGAAAGAATTGGTCGATTTCTGAAATCTTATGCCAGAAAATGTTAATTGAAATGCTCTCCAATTGCCAAGCCTAATAAAATTTTAATTTTTCGTTTTTGTTTTTGTTCTAGATGGGTGTCTCTATTGTTGATGCATCTGTTAGTGGGCTAGGAGGCTGTCCGTATGCCAAAGGTGCCTCAGGTAATGTAGCCACCGAGGATCTAGTCTATATGCTGGAAGGTATGGGCATCGATACAGGGGTTAACTTAGCTGCTCTACTCCGAGCTGGTCAGTTCATCCGCAAGCACCTTGGTAGGGAAACTGAGTCAAAAATTGGTCGTGCCGTCAGTATTGATAACATCAAAATTTTGGAGAATTACATCAAGAGGAAATCACATGACCAGATCTCAGTGGCTGACTAAAATTGCAAGACAGGATGTATGATTTTTATGAGAAGACTGATAGGAATATTGTAAATTAAGTGTGTACAAATGTAATTTATAATTTAAAGTAGGGATTTGAAGATTTCTCAGTCTTGCCGAAAAGTTTATTCGGTATCATATTTTGGCAGAGAATAGATATTAGTTGCGATAAACCGTCACCTCAGTTCAAAGTTGATAAAACTGTTTTGCTCATTTGCAATGCAGGCTTAGGATGTTTTTCACAATTTAAAGCTTTCAAAAGAGCTGTACATAGTGAAAAATGATTTTGAGCAATGAAGTACTAGTACATACAGAGATATGCTTGTTTCCTTTTTTTTAAGGAGGTACGTGCATGGAGAAATCATTCATTTTGATTTTGCTCGCACAAGCCAGTCAAGTTTTTTCAATGAATGTATTTTTCTGTTGAATTGAGAAAAATTTGATTCAACCTAAACCTTATGTTTTTTACCGGATCAAAGTGCGGTTGGTCAACTCAAATATATATATTCCTAACCAATTATGTGAAATTTTCAAGTCCCACTCTCTAGAGTGAAGTGTTTCGCTCTAGGGTTATTTTGTTCTTTGCTGTGATTGTGAAGTCATAATTTAAGTCTGATGTGAAGTTTTGGTCTGATTCATGCAGCAAACTTCATCAGATTGTTAATAATATGTAATGTACTTATATGTGTTATCAGATTATTTATGAATGCCTCTGCCTATCTGACTCCAGAATCTGGATCTGTTTAACGACTGTAAAAATTGAGTAGCACATAGAGCATGTTGCTCGCAATGAATCCTAATGTTTGAAAAATGAACTAACATTTGTGTTTAATATTGTGATACTTTTGGCACTAGTCACTGAAACTGTGATTCAACCATGTCCCCCCCTTTAAAAAAAAAAAAAAAAAAAAAAAAGTTCATCTCAACTTTACCATGTACACTTTGTTCTTTATCCCAGTTTAAAACTCTTTTGTCTGTTTGCTTCCCTCAGCAACAATTCTTAGCGGTTCCATTCATTAGTAAGAATATATTCCATTAACATCTACAAATATTCAACAAATTAACACTTTTACATAAATGAACCAACTAGAACGTCTTTTTAGAATATCTGAAGAATCCATTCAAGTTTCTTTCCATACTTTTACCTCTGAGTTGATCAGGTCAAGTTCAAGCTGAGAACATTCTTCACATTTTTCTCTTTGAACAAGGCAGCTTACTTCTTTTCTCAGTGGAGTTCTGCACAAGACATTATGCAATTATTGATCTAGTTGAGCCAGTTTTGAAGTAGAGTCAACATTCTAGTTCTGCTGCCTCTCCCCCACACTTTTCGCTACATGAGCAAACTGCCGTTGATTATCATAGTTTGCAAGAAAAACTTCTGTATATCAGTGATTCAGCGCACTTCAATGATTATAATTTTATTAAAGTATGGATCACATAAGTATTGATGAAATGGATTCATTATATATCGATGGTGAAACTGCAGAAATGTGTATTTTAGTTCGTGATATTGCTGACTTCCTGTCAAACTGTATTTTCTTCATAGAAAACTACACAACATCATTTCTTGAAAACTTCGATGATGTTTTTTCTATTTCATATATAATATTACATATGTAAATATTTTTTCCAAAATTTCAAGTCATGATGCTGTTTCGTTCTCTTTTTAAAAATCAAAATAGGAGCGAAGATTTTGAAACACCGCAACCAATGCTAGCACTTTTGCAGTTTCACCATCAATTTGTGGTATTATCTAACAGTGAATTTCAGTCACCTAGGAGCTAGTTTTTCCTTGTTATTTAACTGCAACTTTTTGCTTCAATACCTGATTTATTCAGTCAATTAGGATCTCCTCCTCAGAATGTATGTATGTGAGTACTGGTTGCCAAAGGTTTTTGAATCTGTCTTTTTTAAGATATTCAAAATTGCAAAGAAATTTTATTTTCACTATTGTGTGTGTATCTTTATCTTTTTTTTTAAACAGTTATATTTTCCTTTCTTTTTCTCGTTTTGCCAATTTATTGTCTCATGCAAAATTTAAAGGAAAGTGTGCATCTAACTAATAATTTCTTTCAAGTATACGGTAAAACATTTTGGAAATTTGAGTGTCTGGATCTCTAAATGACTCAGATGATAAGGTAATCAGCTACCAGACAGCTAGTTATAGGCATTGCAGCTTAATTTTGCAGTACTTGACAGTTTATTTTTTACATCTGCTCATTCAAAAGTCTTAAATAGGGACGAATCCCAAAATCAGAAGGAGATGAACGCAACAGAGTGTGTTTGGTGAACAATACTCTCTACTCATAGTGAATCATGGGGCTCAATACACTATGAGATGTGGTGTCATACTTACTTTTTAGAATGACTATATTACCCTAGCTCCAGCTCTCCTTTTGGTTTCTAGCACTTAGTGATGTACCTTTTAATCGGTAGCCTCCTAAAAATTTCAAATTCAACCAGTTTCTTGGGCACATTTTTTGACAAGGTTAATTGCCTCACACTTTTAGTCAAGTTTGTTACCATATTCCTGTAGATACATAGTTACATCTCCTTAATTAGTGTCGCTTAAACAGCTCTCGGCTACGCACAAACTGGAGCTCTCAAAGACGCTCAACAATGTCTTTTTCGGCCCTATTGACCAGCACTGCAAGTCGGAGCAATTGATGAGTCTCTTTGAAGTCCATAGTTTTTACAAGAGGAAGACTTTTTCGGTGGACTGAGTTTAATAGAAACGCACCAATTTCTGTCAAGTTCCGTTCTGTCAAGTTTGTTTCTGTCAAATCTCCATTTTTGGTGTATTAACTTCTGTTGTGTCATAAAATCAGCACAAAATTTAACATTCAAGAAAAAGTAAGGGCATTTCTTTGTCTCTGGGAGTTTGTAAGTGCACACTCAAAACTTATTCCCACAAATATCCGTTGTCAGACACACTTAAAACGCAATGTCTTCCCATATAGATTCAGCTTTTTCTAAAAAAAAAAAAAATTCCTTCATATTTAAAGTTATTTTGCTCTAATCAAAATTAATTCATTGCATGAGACTTCTCTGCATCATAATTTACTTACAAAGAAGAATATAACCGTAGAAATCTGGCTAAGATTGCTGCAATATGCAATGTTAAATAGATGACTTTCATTTTAACACTTTAAAATCAAATATTACACTGTTACTTTGATTCTCTCTGATGAATTTTAGTGATACCTCGAATTGTGTCAACTGCACCTTTAAAGGTTGTTTAATTTTTACGTAGCTTCCAGACAAGTAATGCTCATACACTTTTTGGAAGGCTCTAATTCTCAGATACATATTCCCCGGAACTCTGCTCTTCTCGCTCATAAGAATTATAATTACAATTATAATCATATGAGATAATTAGAAACATTCAGTGGTATGAATTACAGTGAAGTGAGCCCATCGTGTGTTTCAATCTCGCTAACGTTTGTGATGTGAGAGTTCTCCTGTTACTCTGCACTCTTCAGGCAAACATGAAATGTGCTAGCATAGAATATACCTCTTTTATTGTTCCTATGTTTTTATAATCATTTGAGTACTTACCAATATCTTACCTCATCTTGTATTGGAGTATAATATTTGGAAGGGATTACTTTACACCACTCCATCAGAACAATTTCTTTGAAATTTTGTTCTCTTTTCTCAATTTTTAGTATTCTTTTCTGTCGTGCCAAGGAAGAACGCCGTATGAACTTTCAAGAGTTGCCAAAATGCCGCTGATAAAACATGTAATTATGAAGAAAATTATGATTATTTTTCCTCGAAATTTTCAGACGTTTTAGATAAAATTCGATGATAAAATCGTTTTAGATAAAAATGATTAAAGAAAAATATTCACAACTTTCCTAGTAAATTAGGTCTCTATTGAAGGAAATATGGCAACGTCTGAAGGCTCGTACTGCGTTTTTTCTCAGCACAGCAGTATTATTTCCTAAACCCTACATTCAAAATTATACCATTTTTGGTTTCTTCTTCCATTCTTAAAACTTAAAATTTGTAAACTCTTGTTATGAAATTTTCAAAGTCTGTTTGTTTTAGAACTTCACATAATTTCATTTATCAATTTTATTTTCACAGACTTTGGTTAGCTATGTTATTTTTTCAACTCTATTTATCTATTTATTTTTCTGTGCGTATTTTTTTCTTTGATATAGTCTTTTCCAGTTTTTAGTTACAGTTTGATGATCTTTCATCTACATCATGTCTTTAGTTGATTTTTTCTATCAATGATTTCTTCTTAATCTGTAAACAGTCTTTCTTTTTTGAGATTTTTCCTCTGTTGTTAAATTACATTTTAAATATATTACCATGATGATAGCAATATCTGTAAATATAATGCATTAATGCTGATTTGTATTTTTTAAAACGTAATTTATTAAATAAAATGTGAGTTCATTTTTCTTTAAGATGCTTTAATTTCCTTAATGCCTAGAAACTTAGAGGTCTTTAGATCCTTCAGATCATCTCTTCAGTAGTTTATTCCTCTCCTTTTTTTAAGAAAAACAAATTTTCACTTGAAAACTTCCTGAATAATAAAAAAGAGAATATCAACCTGGGTGATCATGATGGCATCTCAAGATGGAAAATTTTCTTTTTCTCAAAAGAAAAAAAATGATTTGACATTTATGTTATCTTATACCAACCCTGAAACTTTCTACAAATTCTCTCTAGACCATGGAAAATATGGGAGAAAATTTCATTCACAATATCGTTTGGTTTGCTGTTCTGGTCGTAAATAAGATAAAAATAGGTACTTCAAAATTAAAGCCAATTTTAGTTAAAACTGTCCAAATAAGCATACCCTAAACAATTTAAGTAAAGGAGAGACTTACTAACTTTTAAGCACCTTCAATGTACTCTTACTTTATACATAGTACATATTCTCTAATTTATTAAAAAAAAAAAAAAAAAAAAAAAAAAAAAAAAAAAAAAAAATTTAAAACAAATACTCAGATGATGTGAAAAATATGGGGACAGGACTTAATTGCCTTGAGGCGCTGTTTTGGTATTTTATCATTTTCTACTCCATCACAGACAGCACAGGTTGAACAAAACTTTTTAGCACACACGTGTGATTTTCCACTCTACAGAAAAAATACTATGTTCAGGAGAGCGGAATTACCCATGGAACAGTGTTTGCCCCGCATGGTCGAAAAATCGAATTTTGAGATTTCAGTGGAAAACTCAATGTGCCCTTGAGAATAAGGTGCGGGCAGTTTACTTCATTTTTGTGGAAATCTTGAGAATTCAAAGTAATTTTTCCTTTAAACTATATTTTTTAAATTTGAAATTTAAAAAGTGCCATAACTCTGGTTTGATTTGCCCTTTTTGGGGTGATTTTCTGTCCTGAAGGTTTCGTAGCTGAGCCCTCATGTTTGCTTTGGGATCAATGATTCAAATTTAAATTTTCATGGACTGACGTCCTTTTCGTGTAAGCAGTTATATTTGTATGTTTTATGAAATTCATACACACACATCACAGCCGCCAGTCCTAAGTTAGGTACAGTTAGAAGGTACGTAACTAAGGCATCACCTAGCAATCTGCATAAATAAATAACAAATCGCAATTTTAAGAAAAATCAACGGAAGGGCTCAAGGTGATTCGACGGTTGCCATTTTTTGTGTTGGAATGACGTGCAATATATCGCATCAATTCATTCCATAATTTTAGCTACTTGTCATTTTTTTCGAATTCTGATTTCGCACTTCTGTCGTTATGACACAAAGAAATTCAACGAATTAAAGGCACGGGTTTTTTAGAGGAAAAATAGCGCATTCGATACTGATATCGAAACTGCACTCGAATGCGATATTTTTCCACTGCAAAAACGTCGAATTTGGTCCGTGAATTCTTCAGTCTCATGACAACAGAAGTGCGATCTCAAAATTCGAAAAAAATGACAAGTAGGTAGCTGAAATTATGGAACGAATTCACTATATTAAAATACCCTTTCTGAGGGTTGTCCTATGTAATAAGGATATCAAAAATTTACACCTTTTTTTTTTAAAACAAAATTAAAGATTAAATTTGGTGCTAAATCGGGTAAGCCAAAAACATCGCACGAAAACATTCGCATCGGTACCTATCGCACGTCGCTCTGACACAAAAAATGGCAACCGTCGAATCACCTTGAGCACGTGATGGTCCGAGCATGGAGCTTTTGCTTTCCAGCCTTTAAAGAGTTTTGAACCTATGGAGGTTTTTTTGTGTTTCTACCGCATAACAACGATGAGACTGCAAAAACGGGTAGGTATCTCGTTTGAAGTGCTTCAAAGTTTCCGCTCACATTCTATTTCATCGAAGGACAAGAAACCAACACCATTACAATTTTGGTTCAATTGGGGTTTAAAAATAAAAGATGGTCATTTCTTGAGCGTTATATTTGCACTTGCTGCAACGTCCATCTAGTCTCGTCGTATTTTGTTTCTTGTCAAGGCCATTTCCATTCTGTGTTACGGTAATTTAGCGATAATTTTGTTCTTATACTCTGTTATGTATTACCGTTTGCCATCAAAATAAGACGCTTACTTTTTTTAAATAGTAAAATAAATCAAGAACAATGCAGCACAAATGCCCACACGCGTCCACACCACAAGCTACAACTTCACGCCGCGCCGCACCGTTTTTGCCTCCAAGAAAAGCAGGGCGCCTTCAATTTCACGCACTGCAACAGAGACAGCTATCAAGTTCGAATAGTTGCGTCTGAAGGCGTTGAAACCTGCCTCGATTATTATTCGGCTTACTTTCAAATCGAAGGAGATCATCCATTTTTCGGAACTTCTCACAACTTTTATTTGTTACAGAAATAATTTTCTCGAACTGTTTCTTGGATTTTTCTATTTCCGTTCGAAAGAAGAATCAATAAAAAAAAAAAAAAAAAAAAANAAAAAAAAAAAAAAAAAAAAAAAACATTTAACGCGTACTTTGGTATTACATCAATTCAGGACAATAAATCCTAAAAATTATGATCAAAATTAATATCACCAAAGGTGTGTTGGAAAAAAAGCTGCACTAAGCTTTTAGTTTTAGAGGAAAACTCATATATTTGGGAAAAAATCTGGTCAGAGATAAGGGAAACAATTTACTTCCAGGGATTTTCGCACCGGGGGTTCGCTCACGCTCCTTAGAGAACTTATCGTCGATGACAGTTGCATAACATGTATCTCCACTTCTCCAGATGAAGATTTCTTGTCAAATTTTACTTTTTTTGTCAATAAAACACAAACAAACACCACATATTTCTTGGAAGATTCATTTACGTTTCTCTGTTCTGTACATGAATATTCTGAATATTCTGAGAAATTTTCCAACAATAACATTCACTAGTTTTTATTTAATTGTAAATAAACCGACGACGGGGATTTCGAAATTATGCAATCGAAATTCGTACTTTACCCCTCTCATTCTAGAGGGTGGGGGAATCCCCCCTTACCTGACCAAGTGTGGCTACGTGCCTGTTTATGTTTAGGTGTCTTGAAGTATCTGGGTGAGGAATCGCTGAGGAAGAAGGTTGGGGTAAACCTGAAGGTAAACCTGAGCTGTAAAGATGGACCGAGTTTAACAGAAACGCAACAAGTCACATCAAGATTGGGCCAAGAAAAAGAGGTTTGAATTCATACAACCCCTCCCCCCCNACCCCCCCCCCCCCCCCCATTGGACTGTTGAGAACAATTTTTAAAGAGTCGTTTCGTGTTCAAGACATTAATTCTCGAGTTTGAACCTCTGACACACGATTTACGGCGCGATTTGACTTCAAAACTGTACCTACTCCTATATAACTTATTTTCTTCAAATATAGGGCAATCCATGCAGTGTGCAAACATTTCAAAATCATGAGTTGAAAAGCGCTGACTCCGCGAGTTTAAATATTAGTGCCTAATATAGAGCGGAGCGGCGTGCTGCCAGCGCAAAGTCCACATTCGCGCCTACAAACCGAAGGGGATACTTCACGCATGACGCAATGCGTGAAGTA